CCCTCCTCCCTCTGCCCCTCCTCCTCTTCCTCCCCCTCCTCGCACACCGCACGCTCGCTGCACACTCAGCACTGTGCTTTCTAACTGCTGGCGACACACCCATTTGTCCCAAGGGAACCCAGAGAGCTAGCCAGTGCTTTTCATAGCTGCAGAGTCCCCCTGTGAGTGGGTATACGGTAAGGCATCTACCAGCCCCACCGGTGGGCATTTAGGTTAAATCTGGCTTCTCAAGGAGCAGCCCACGACACGTAGGCAAAGAGGTCTTCCTCTACTACGAAACAGTAACATTTACATTTCGGTCCCCTTTTGTTTTATCAGTGGCAAAAATGGGGCAGAGAGTGACACGGGACGCCTGTCCTCGGAGCTCAGGCTCGCGGCATCTCCGAGGGGTGTCCTCGGCCTCCTGCTCGCTCCTTTAGGTGGCTCCCCGAGTCTCAGAGGAGCTGGAAGCTTCCATGTGGGTCGGGGTTGTAGTAACAAGTTTCTGAGACCATTGTATGTGTCGGCCACAGACTTTCCTCTCGACCCCTGGACTGCGGCCAGGTCTGTCTCGGTCGGCTAACTTGCAGTTTGCGTGGACTTCATAACCACACGTGACTGCAGACACGAGTATGTGTGCCCACCCGCAGCGTCTTGCAGGAAACGGACCGCCACGTCTGTGCCGCCCCTGGCGCCGGAGGTCGCTGCAGGCTGAGTGGTCGCTTTGGCCAGTGCTATGCACTTGCTGACCCGGTCCCATGCATGGATTCCCCTCAGAACTTAGTCAGGACACACACTCTCCCCTGGGGTACGTGTCTCTCACGGCCCAGGTTTTCAGGAAGCTGGGACGCTGATGATTGGTCATGAAAACAATGAACCCTCCCGAGGAACGCTGCTCCCGTGTCCTGGCCCTCACCTTGCTGTTCCTGTCCCTCTAGCCCAGGGGTGTCTCCACCAGGGGTGTCCCCCACGCCCAGCCCCAGGGTGCACCTGGTGATGTCTAGAGATGTGTGTGGTTGTCTCACCCACTGGGGGTGCTACGGCACCCAGTGGAGAGGCCGGACATGGCTGAGTGTCCTACAACGCGTGGGCAGCCCTCACGGCCCCAAATGTCAGCCGTGCCCAAGCCGGGATGGGCTGGGACCTGCCCCCCACAAAGCCTGTGAGAAGCTCCTGACACCCCGGGGGACGCGTGACTCTGCCCAGCACGCCGCACGCGGACGGGGCGGGGCGGGGCAGAGGGCCCGAGGCTGGACGCGGGTACCTTAAGCAGCCGGAAGGCGGTCAGCCAGCAGGCACGGCCTTGCTCGTCCTCCGCACACAGCAGCCGCAGCCCCTTCGCCTCGTGTGTGACTTTGTTGGGCTGGAGGTAAAGGGAGCCCCAGTGAGTGCGGCACAGCGGATCAGAAAGGATCAGAAACTCACTGGCGTCCCAGCAGAGCTGGGCCCCACGCGTGCGGGACGGCAGCCCACACCCTGACAGGCCAGCAGGTGTCCCCGCCCCCTGTCCTCAGCATCTCCATTCCTGGACCTGCCGCTTGGCTGCGCGCTCAGCCGTCCTCCACTGGGGGGCTCAGTGGACACAGGCAGGAAAGCCAGCCTGCCCGGGCAGGACAATGTGGTGGGCGTGACGGGGAGGGGCTTGAGGAGGCCGTGGGGGGAGGGGCCCTGGCCCGCGGAGGAGCTGGTGAGGGAGGGGCCCCGGCCCGGGCTGGGGAGGGCCTGAGCTGTCCCTAGAATGGCCCCACACAGGGCCCAGTGTAACTCCAACGTCACCGTCACTGGAGAGAAGGGGGACTGTCGCGGGCCAGCGGCCCACGGGTCAGGGGTCACCACAGGCGGAGGGCGGGGGCCCCACCCAGGGCAGGCTCGTCTGGGGCAGGGGGGCCGCTGGGCTGGGCCTCTGCCTGAGCCCTCTGACCTCAGAGGCGGGGCGATGCTGGGCAGACGCCAATCTAGCTCTCTGCCTTGGGAGCCTGGAGGGGGAGCGAGGGACAGGAGTGACCACCCTGCCTGAGGCCCAGGCTGCGGGATCAGCAGGGAGGGCTCCGCCTGGGCCTGTGTGTGTGGGGGGAGGGGCGCCTGGCTCCACCTCCAGCCCCTCCCGGGGCCATGGGGCCTCCCTGCACCTCCGCTGTAGGCTGCTTCTGAGGGGGCCCCCGTTACCCCGTTACCTGCAGCCCATGAGGTGCAGGGAGGTGCAGGGCGGTGTCAGGACAGGAGGTGCTCCTGCTCCCTGTGCCCCCCTGGACGGGCGGAGCAATGGCTCACGGGGCTGCGGCTTCCTGCCCCGTAAGCGCCTGGGGACTCGGTGAGAGGACGGAGGCCAAACCCTTAGCAGGACGTGGCGCCCGGGGAGTGCCCGGCAAATTTTACTTAGTACTGAGATGACCGACATCAGCACGACCTCCCGGGGGAGGAGAGCGGGCGGGCCCTGCCCATAGGTGTGTCTGTGTGTGCTCCCGTATGCACATGTCTGTGCGCACATGTGTGTGCATGCACACATGTACACACATGTGTGTTTGCGTGTGCAGGCATGTCTGTGTGCACATGTGTGCGCACGAGTGCCTGTGTTTGTGCATGTGTGCGCACACATGTAGAAACACACATGTGCCTGTATGAGTAAATACGTGATCATGTGCCCCCACTCACATCCACACGGAGGGACAGTAGTGCTGGAGTCACTCGTATCCCAGTGACCAGAAGCCCACATAGAAGGCGTCGGCTCACCCACACCCTGGAGGCCACCCAGCGCGTTGGCGGAGGCTCTCCCCGCTCCCGGGCTAAGGCTACAGCCCAGTTCCAGGGGCCAAAGCCATAGCCTAGGCCACCGGGGCCCTGGACAGCTGTTAGCATCCTGCTTTCCTCTGGGCGTCTGAGCTACTTGGGGACTGATACATCGTAAGGACACAAAGAGTATTTTTCCATGAATGAATACATCCAGTGTGAAACTATGTTTCTGTTTAAGAAAAAGCAACAACCAAGAGAAGGATTTACTGTTTGAATTCCAAAGGCTCCAGCCGTACGTGAGCTGTGAGCGTCAGCTGCCAGGGTGCACACGGGGCTGGGGCGGAGGGGGGGGCGCGTACCTTAAGGCAGAGGCCGAAGTCCGTGGGTGCGCTGTACTGCTTCTTGCCACAAATCAGGGAGAAGACACTGCAGTCCTCCAGGTCAGCCAGCAGCTGCAGGTGTCTGGGCTCCTACAAAAAAGGCCCTAGGTGACTGGGAGCACTCCCGCACAGCCCAGAGGAGCACGTGCGTGCTCACCCAGGGGCCCTGCGGGCTCTCGGCGCACCTTCCCCGCAGGTCTGCAGCTCACAGCTGCTGTGTGGTAAATGCTATGTGAAGACCAGACCCTCCTGCCCCGCCAAAAAGCCCCCTCCCTTTCTCAGACAGGAGACCGCCGGAAAGGATCCTACGCTCTGCCACGTCAGAGCTCCAAAACCAAAAATTCAGCGTGAAAATGGAAGAAAATCTGGACTCTGAAGGTCAAAGCTAAGAGCACACGCTCAAAAAGCAGGACCCATACCGACCTAGCTGTGCTGTGTGCTCAGAGTCCCAGCGTGCGGGCGGGCGGCTCGCTCACAGAGGGCTGGACCCTCCCTTCTCCTCCACTCCCCAGCCCAGCTCTGCCTCCTGCTCCAGGCTGCAGGCGTCTCAGAGGGCGTGAGTCAGCCGCAGAGAAGAGCTGGGCGGTGGGGAGCCTTCCCTGCAGGCCCTGCGTCAGGCGGGAGGCCTCCCCGTGCAGAGGCCCCGGCCCCCGCCCACACCCTCCTCTCCCTCCTCTCTGGCTCTGGTCCTCGGCAGCTGCACTGAATCAGCCCAGCACTTACTCGCAGCCCCGCCTGGGGTCACACCCGCTCCCCCCTCCTCCTCCAGGCAAGAGCAGAAGAGACTTCAGCTCTCAGAGGCAAACGCATGGCCAAGGTCAGCTGGGCTCGGTTCCAGCTGCAGGGCATACGTGGACCCGACAGAGAGTAGGTATGAGGAGCAGAGGCGCCGCGGAGACCCAGCGCGGGCGGCCCGCTGGGCCCCAGCTCCCTGTGGGGGCCTGCCGCTGGTCTCCAGCTCTCCTCGTCTGTCCCACTGGGAGGGTACACGAACCGCGATTTTGCCCACAAAGTATCTAGGCAGCATGGAGTGGGTGCGGGGGCGGCAGTGATCCACCGTGTCCTGCCTCCTCGTCTCCACGGCCACTGTGGCCCAGGGTGGAGGGCTGATGTGGCCTGGGGCTTCCTAGGTCCCAGTTACCTCCTGGGGTGTCAGACAGACTCGCAGGCAGGCAACTCCCAGTTTAGCTGCTACACAATTAGCCTAATGAGTTGTCCCAAGCTCGGAGGAGCCTGAGGCGTGTTTGACAATGCAGCCCCCCTGCGCTCCGGACCCCCGTGTGTGTGGCCACGTGGGGGCTGCTCACTCACCTTTGAGGAGCCCTTGGTGGAGCAGTAAAGGCCTGACCTCCGCAGACACATGTACAGCTTCTTCCACGACTTCCGGCCCAGCTCCTTCACGTGCAGGAAGCCCTGGACTTCGGGGCAGCTGCTGGTGTTCAGGAAGGTCTGTGGAGGGCGAGGCCAACGGTCAGATGCGCTTACACGGCACACGGAGGCGTCGCTGACCCACCGACATTTTACTGAACTACTAAAATACTCTTCTTTTGGTCAAGCTGAGTTTTCAAACAATATGCTTCCTTTCAAAAACCTTAAAAATCCCCTCTACATTGATGTCACATAGAATGTAACTGGTACATAAACACAGACAAGCAAATGAACCTTCTCAACACCAACGACAAGCACAAAGCTCCATGTTCTCCGTAGGCCAGCACGATTAAACGTCCTGCCTTTGCTTCTATTGTCCGTAAAATGCCCTGTCTGATCATGGGGGTGGGGAAGCGCCAGGAGCACCTGACAGGAGCCCTACCTCCCCGCCGCCCCGTCCCGGCTAACCGCTCCCAGGGGCCGCCCGTCTTCCTGTGGCCTGTGGGAGTGGGGCCGGGGAGGTGGCACGGCGGGTCCTTTCCACTGGACTGAGAGGGGACACGGCTCCGCCCGCAGGTGGGGTGGCCAGCTGGACAGAGTCCTGGGGCACCTGGGCCAGTCCTTCTGGAGTCTCAAGAGATCACTGTGCCCGCAGCCCTCCCTACCCCGCCCCCCCCCCGGGCCAGGCCACCACATATCAAGTTAAAAGAGCCTTTGGCCGTCCCGCCATCACCGTGCAGGAGCTGAGAGAGCTAACGGTCGCCTGCAACTCCTGCCGGGCGCCGCGGACCGCAGGCTCGGGGGAGGCCACGGCACGGAGCTCTGGGGCCCTGTCTCGTGGGCAGAGGCAAGTCTGGCGCCCGACCACGAGGGGAAGAGCGCCGCCGGTCGGGTTCTGTGGGGACCGCGTTCTAGTGGCTTCTCTTACGCCCGGTGTCGTGCGCGTAAGCTTTTCTCTCTCACTTAACCCGTTGCGAACAGACACACGTCTGGGGCGCAGCGGCCCTGTCCCTCATCTGCGCCCCGCTTCCTAGGAACAGCAGGGTTCGGCCGTGAGTGCACACGGCCTTTGCTCCCAGCCCTGGACAGGGGGTGGGCAAAGGCCTCAGGAAGCAAAGGGACAATTAAGATGGGCGTCCTCGCCCTTGTCCGCGCTCCGAGGTGCGCTAGGAGGGCCCGCGGCCTCTCCGTCCTGCCCTCTGCTCAGACTGCTTCCCAGGCGGGGGAAGCTCTTGGCGTGTGTAAACGCCATTTCTACCCCGTTTGCGTGTGCAAACGCCATTTCTACCCCGTTTGCGTGTGCAAACGCCATTTCCACCCCGAGCCTGGCTACACGCAGTGCTCCAAGTGAGCACTCGCGCTCGGTCACTCCGAGCCCTGTCAGGGGCCGAGGCCGACCGTGGTGAAGGATGCAGCTGCTCCGAGTGACCGTGATCAAGAATGCGATCGTTCCAAGTGTCCGCAAGGTGCCCTGACAGCTCCAGGGCGGTCCCTGGGACCCAGGTGCCCATTCCCGCCCAGTACCTGCAAAAGCTGGGTCTGGCTGCCGTTCGATTGCTGGCACAAAGTGACCATCTGTTCTGGGAAGAAATTCTAAGGAAATGGGAAAACAAACATGTTAAAAGTTAGGTTCAAAGCGGGGAAAAACACACTTACAGGGGTGCCAGCTCTAAAAACATTCCTGCCACGATGGCTGCGTGCGCTTGCATGGAAAATGGCCGTCCTTTTCAGCCCCTGGTCACACGGTGGAAACATCCACTTCGAAAGGCTCTACTGTTGCCTAAAATGCTGAATGCAGGTGCCGAGCACCTCACGTCTACTGGGAACGCGTGTCTCACAGTGTCGCTGAGGCAGAGGGCTGCCACGCATCGTAACTCAGCGACACAGGTACGGGGCGTGAGACAAATGAGCACGGTGCCGTGGAAAAGCCTCTCCTGGCGCCTCACCCAAAACAGGTATGGGAATGATTTCTTTCAAGTAAAAAGCAGCTACGCAATCGGGCCGGACGTTGATGCGGGCCTCCACCTGGGCCTCCACGCTCTGCCTTGCGACTCGGGACAGGCGCCTGTGGGCGGCAGGTGTGCGGCCCCCTGACGTGTTCAAGACACGTGCCCCTCACCTCCCACCAAAAAAAAGAGTAGACGAGGAAAGAGAGAAAAACCCCAGAGACTAGCTGAACACACCTGGACGTTGATTTCTCTACTCTCCTTCCACCAGTAACCACAAGTAACATTCGCTCTCTCCAGAGAATGAGTACTTATCCTGCTAAGTACTTGGCCAGTTTGTTCTAACTTAAGAGCCCCTGTCCTCTCTCCTCAAGACACGACCCCTCGTCCCCACTGTCCCCGCCGGGGGACGCGCGATGGCCTTGGGCCTGTACGAAGGTGCTCATTAAACATCAGAGGCCGAGCCCTGAGCAAGGCATGTTCAGCTAGACGGCAATTCTGGTCCAAGCGGTCAGCTGCCCCCCGGGTGTCGGTCAGTTATTCTACGATCTACTCCCGGTAAACCCAAGTATCAACTGCAAGGTTTTCAAGAGTTCCACACCCCGACCCCGAGGAGATAAGACTCACCATGGGATTTTTGAAAAACTCATATTTTGCATAATTCTTCCTGAATAAAAATTTACTGTCACTGGCCATGGTGCTCTCCACCTGGACCACCAGCTCATGGTCTTCCAAGCACCTTTCTGGGAGGAAAAGCACGTGTGAGAAGTGAGAGACGAGGCAGGCAGCACGGCAACCCCCCACCGGGCGAAGACGGGGTCGAGAGCGAAACTCGACTTGCGCGTCTCTCTAGCGCGCGGCCAAGGGCGCGGGAGGGCTCGAGAGGAGTAACGCGGGGCACTCAGGTCGGGCCTCCCTTCTACATCATTCCTCTCAATTTGACGTCGACAAAAATTAAGGAAGGGGTCGATCAAGACTCGCAGCCAATCACTTCGCCCTAAAATTAAGAAACGTCGACTCTTCTAATGATCATGGACTGTGGAACCTGGGAAACGTCCGAGACGAAGGGCGGTGGCCGGACGCTGAGCAGGGGGCCCGTGGGAGGGCCGGGCGGTGGGGGGCGGTGACGTGGAGCTCGGCGGCCAAGGCCGCAGCGAGATCGGAGAGGGGACACGCTCCCGGAGCACGGCCGGTGGGGCCCCGCGTGGCACGCCGGCCACGCCAGGGCGTCCTGAGCGCAGCAAGGACACTCGCCACGCAGACTGACCCGCACACACGCCCTTGCTCCGGAGTGTCTGCGGTGGCAGTGCTGGCGCCTGGCAAGGGGCTCCCCTCGCTGTCTGGACACCAGGCTCTACCGGGAGCAGGTCACGCCCCCTCCCCTGGGTCTCTGACGGGAGCGGGGGGCGGGCAGTGTGGTGATGGCAGGGAACTATCCACACTAGTGGCGGAACAGGCAACGTGAGCAAATCCACGGCATCCTCAGCACGTGCACAGAGGCCCAAGTGGCCGGACGGAAGGGGCACGAGAGCGCGAGTGGCCCTTCAGAGCCCCCGCCCACCTTCTTCCAGGGCCGAGCTGGGAGTCCCTAGGGAAGTCCCGTCTTCAAGGAAGGATGAAGGTGAGAGAGAAAGCATTCTCAGTCAAAGCCGTCCCAGAACGAGGAAGGGGAACTTCTGACTACAAAGGACGACTGTCCCCGGGCGCTGGTCCGAGACAGGCCGCGCCCGCACGCAGCGGCCCGCTCAGCCCTGCTGTCCATGTTACAAGGAAAGCTTTCTTGTGAAAACATATTTAAAGCCCGAATTTGCCAAGGACAGGAATTTCCTCCCCACGACCGCCAGAAAGTCCCCCGGGCAGGGCCGACCGGCACCAGGGACAGGCCCACGGGAACCTGGCTGCGGAGTGGGGGGCGGGGGGCCGTCTGCTGGCCCTGCGCCTCCCGGGATGGGGGTGGGCAGAGCCGTCCGGCCCGGCCGGGCCTGAGACTTCAACGCTTACGTTCACTTTCAAGAATGAGGCTGGCTCAGCGCCATCTCAAATGGATTTTCCAGGTGGAACACAGATCGATGAATTCTGCGATTTTTTATTCAGAGAAAATGCTTCTGTAGTTCGAGGGCAGAAAAACAACAGCCACTGGCTAACCTGATGCTGGGTGGTTAATAGAATTAAAAATGTTTTTTCATCAGGTAAAACAAGGAGAAATCAAAAAGTGAGATGACAGCTACTAAGAGAGGCCGAGACAGGGGTCTAATTCCAGAGCAAACGGCGTTTTGTCTCCGATGGACCGTGAGGGTCGCCCCATGACCAGTGGGAAGCACCAGCTCTAAGGGGACATGGGGACACGTGGCTACGCAGGCGCCCGTCCTCCAAGCCCAGCTCTTCCTGCCTGCCAGGCAAGCGCCCGGGAAAGCTGTGCCCAGCAGGGCAAACAGAGAGTGAGGCGTCCCCATCGTCTGGCCCCAGGGGGACGGGCAGAGGGGCGCGGACCCTGAAAGGAGCAAGCTGGGCCGCTCTGGGGACGCCAGGGAGGCCCCAGACACCCGCAGGTGGAAACAAAGCCCCTCTGTAATCCCCTTCTGCACACCCTCTGCGCGTGGGGACGCGGCGGCCAGCAGGGGTCAGGGGCACGGGGTCCGGCCTCGGTCTGCCACCGAGTGTCCATGGCACCCGTCTTCACAGCTGGCAGAAAGCCACCCGACAGCATCGGTTCAAAGCCCCCTTTTTTCAGCTCTAATTTTCTCCATGACTCTAAAAGCATGTCTTTTCAAAGGCCCTTGGGTGGCTCTGTTCTGGGGATGGCACGCCGCCATCCAGACTTCATGTCATCACAGGGGCCTTGGTAACGCTGGCGTGCTCGCGGCAGCCGGCGTCCCAGAGGGCTGCCCATGCGAGCGGCAGAGCCAGGCGCGGCTCGAAGGGCGTCCGCGGCTCCCACTTTTCTGAAACGAAGTCCGGCATCTGTGTTGCCCCCTGCTTCCCATGAAAAATACTGAAAAATCGGACGCCTCGAAAAAGCAAATCTTACTTCTCTGCCTTAGAGTGTAGTGGACTTGTGAGTCCTGAGCAGAATCCTGAGTCGCCCAGCCTGGCGTCAGCATCCCACCGCCCACCTCCATGCCACGGCCAGCCCCTCATCGCAAGCCCAGCAGGCCGCAGAGCCTGTGGTCACTCAGGCCTGTGAGGGAGACCCCACTCCCAGGGGTGGAGTTTATCTGCTGTCACACTTTCAAAAAGGTTCACAAGAAAAATTTCGAAGCGTGGGGAGAAGTTTGTAGTCTGGGTGCGTTTTCTCTCCTTCGAGACACAGGAGAGACATATGGCCGTTGTCTTACAGAAGCTCCTGGTTTTTAATACATACCTATGATTTTGTAAGCACCACGCTTTATCCGATAAGAATTTAAACAAAAGTCTGAAAAACTCTTTGCCTGAAATAGACCTCCTGAGCAAAAAGCAGAACAAAACAAAACGCAAAACCTCACCAAACTGTGTAAATAGTACATAACTCAAAATATCTCCTTGGTCTCTGCACACACACACGCGCGCGTGCGCACACACTGTGCAAAAGCATGTGAACCAGCTCACAGACACACCATAAGCCTCCAGCTGAATGGCCCTGCTCTGTGGTGCGCTTCGATGCCCAGTGGGCCTCCCTGCTCTCCTGCAGACTGTCACCACGGGTCCCGTGCTCCCGTCAGGTGGATGAGCTGTTCTCTGCAGAGTAATGCCACAATTCTGCCAGGGGCCGGCCCTCCCCGGGGCACCGCCAGCTCCCTCCACAGACCACAGGTGGGACTCAAGCCCTACACGCATCTCACGGCTAACTCGCAGGGAGAACCTTCTCGCTGTGTCTGAGCCCTGGGGACTTCCCGCTGACCCAACCAAGAGCAAGGTTCCGGGGAAGAGGGCCGGGGGTCGGGAAGGGGTTTTAGGAGAACGAGAAGGGGCCGTCGCACGGAGGACAACACGGAGATGCTGCTATGTGGGCAGGGGACACGGCAGTGACATGTCTGGCATCTGGCCGTGGCGGCCTTTACCGAACGCGCGGCGCGCGCTCCCGGGCGCGGTCCTACCTAGTCCCAGGTGCGGATGGTGCTCCACCAGGGTCCAGCTGTTGTCGTCCACACAGTGACTCCTGTACACCAGCAGCTGGCACAGGTCCCTGGCCGTCATGTCTGCTGGGATCTCCACCACTTTGCACGTCCCGTCTTCACTAAAGACTTTAACATCCTGCAACATGCCAAGAGGGCACGCACAGATGAACGACTTCGCGTTTTTCAGAAATAAAAACGAAACCGAGTAAAACAGCTCACGCACAGCGCGCTTCCGAGACGTGCGTGCCCTCCCCTCCCCCGCCCCCGCCCTCCGACGGGCAGGGGCACAGTGTGATGGTCTCCAAATGCCCAGGACGCGCAGGGGACACCGGCCCCCGGCCAGACCTGAGGGTACGTGAGGCTTCTCAAGAGCCTGCCTTTGGGGTTCGGGTTGTTCACGGCCTGCTGGTGGCTTTGGGGTTGGATGCTTCACAGTGGAACCAAGTGCAAACACCCAGGAATTTCTTCTGTGACAGAAATCCCACAGAAGTCACAACCTTCGATGCCGATGGCTCCACCTGCTCTCCATCCCCAGGGCCCGGGGTGCGGTGGCCGACATCCACTGCCTTTTCCTGTCACTCCCCTCCCATGTTCATTAAGGCTTAGGAGCAGGTTGAGAAAAATTAACACGAATACACTGAAATTTAAGACACTGAAAGGGAGGGTATGGCGAGAACACGGTCACAGCATTCTTTGGTCCCTTCCCCCCTCAAAATCACGAGCGAAGTGCATTTTCCAGGTGGTGGTCAAAACCATTGCAAACGAACGGCTCTCGGGCAGAGGGACACCGAGGAGCGACGCGGAGGACGCAGGGTATACGTGGCTGCCTAGCTACACACCGTGGGGACGCAGCCCTTGAGGGGCATGTGAGATGCTTAAAAAAATCTTACCACAGCAGCCTGGAAAAAGCAGTCAGAGGAACAAGATGGCATTTTAAACCCACACTGCCTCTTGAAAGGGAGTTTGTCCCCGTTTCTCCCACCGTCCCCGGGGGCTGGGCCCCACCCCGCGCTGCCCCGCCAATGGCTGGCTGTGCAGACGCCCCGGTGGGCAGGCTGTCTCCAGGCCGGCAGGGCAGCTGCTCCCAGTGAGGCTGCCGGCTCAGCCCTCTAGGTAGTGAATCGAGCCACCTGGGCAGACCAATCAGGTCCCTCCCTGGACCTGATGCAATTGCTCCCCCACTGGCTCCCCACTTCACGAAGTGCCTGAGAGCCCACGGCAGAGGCGCTGACCAGACGGCCACTGGGCGCTCAGACCGAAACGCCAGCAAAGTCCCTGCAGATTGTCCCCTGGCACTGGAGTGACAGGCGGAACTCAGGGCCCGAGCACGTGTGCTCTCTGAATGTGACCCGTCTGCCAAACCTCCTAGACGTCTTTGTCCCTGCAGCTCGGGCATCAGTGACAACTTCGGAGATGGTGCTTCCTGTGCCCTGGGAGGGTCAGCCTGTTCTGACAAACTGCCTCAGCTCTGCTGCTCTCTCAGACATTTTCTCAAGGTTTTCTAACCGAGAGCATACTTTGTCCAAAGGTTTATTTCTGCTCAGAGCAGTCTGGCCGGGGACAGTGCCGGGAGCAAGTCCCACAGGGACGGCATCATCCCATGAGGACTGTCCCCAGGCCTCCCACAGCTCCTGGCCAGGAAGGAGTTAATGCTCGCTCAGCCTGGAGTTCCCAGCCAAAGGGGGGCTGGCCAGCCAGGGGGACTAGCCCTCCAGGTGGGCAGAGTCACCACGCTGCTGCTGCCACCTCTCAGCCACCCCTAATCCCAAAGAAATCCCAAAGAAATCCCCGGGGCTAGAACAGGGCTGTGGGATCCGCTTTCGAGTCACATTCATCTTTAAAGAAGCCCACCCATCTTTTTCCAGAATTTACATTTCATTCAATGAAAGTTAGAATTTTACAAGGCAAATTACGTATTCAAGCACAGCTGACATGACTGTGTCTATAAAAATACAATTTAATTTAAACAAAGAAAAACACGTTTTTGGTCTACAGAAGAAAGGTTTTAAAAAAACTTTAAAAAAAACGCCTTAACGTAAAATGAAAACAAGTTTCGGTAACACAGGTGGACGCGTACAGTTCGCGGCAATACAGTTCGTGCCGACGGGCTGCTGCCTGGGCCGCCCGCCGAGCCTTGCACACCAGGACCGCTTTCCACCCGCAAGCTCGGCCTGGGCCCCTCTCCTCAAGTTTCTAAGTGAGTCTATCTGTGACCGCAGCGAACGCGGCCTTCTCTGGGCGTTCAGAGGGCGCTGGAGTGAGGCCCTTGTCTCCCCACGTCCGTTTGCCGCTTTTCCTGCCCCAAATCAGCTGTGGCACCAGTTTTCCAATCTTTTCTTTTGGCTCCATTTCATTCTCCGTTAAACTCTGTCCTCGCCTCTCTCTCTGTTGCTCCGCGGCCACCCCGCAAAGGTCTATATATAGTCTGAGTATTAAAAGCTAAGGGCGCTTCGTCATACGGCCACGTCCTCTGCTTTAGGTTCCCAGAGACGGCCAGGCTGGCAGGACCTGCCGGGGCGGGGCAGTGGGCCACTGCTACAGGCCCGTGGCCGGGACAGACGCAAAGGCACGACACACGATCTAGCGGCAGGACGTGGGGTCCCACGCTGCCCGCTCCGCCCCAGGCCGGCGCGCCGGCCCTGCCCCCCGCAGATGATGCAAACCCCCAAGCCAGGAACCGGGGAAACCCCTGCGCACACCAGCAACCTCAGACAGGCGCCCTTTGGAAGCGCGGACGGGCGCGCTCCTCCCGGAGGCGGCATCCGCAAGGAAAACACTGTCGGAACAGCCAGCTGCCCGCCGCTGGCCCTGTAGAGCCAGAAGTCCCAGGGGAGCGATCTGCACCGGGTAACCGCCCCTTCGGGCACCACCGGGGTCGCTAACGACCCAAGCCTCGCCTGCCCGTCCGAGCCACGGGTGCTGCACCGAGCGTCAGCAACAGGGGCGAAGCACAGGGCTCCGCGTCCGGAGGTCGCCGCAGCATTTACGAGCCCCTGGCAGGGGGTGGGGGTCGGCTGAGGCCCTCCCGAATCTCACAGGGCCACGGTCTTGCTCCATCACTAACGGGCTGTGGGGACCTGGCTCAGCGACCTCGCTGCTCTGAGCCCGTTTCCTTATCTGTGGGGTAAGCAGCGCTGGCCTCACAGCGTCCGCCTGGCACCGGCTAACCAGAGCCTCTCTTGAAAAGCTCTGGCCTCCTGTGCCTGCCCCTGGGGGGTGCTTGGATAAAACTGGGACAAGGAGCTGGGAACAAGGCAGGGGACACCGGGGGAGAGGGCACCCGGGCCCCAGAAGGCCACGCCGACTCTGGTCTGCAGTTCTGAGAAAGCTGCGCCTATGACTGGTGAGACGGAGCAGGAGCAAGTCCGTGGGAAAAGCCCAGCCCTGGACGCTCCATGTCCTTTTCGTCACTGCAAAGACAACTAAGTAGCTAACTGCCTCTGAAATCGAGGGCACATTACGTCACCATCACGAGGCTCTCCCTTTGCAGAGTTAGGGGAGGGATGCTTTGTCAGGCTACCTGGCCCCCGCTGGCCTGGTGCCACGGCCCTGGAGTGGTCACAGAATGTCCCACCCTTGTCAGAGCCTCGCCGTCTCCTTTTTACACACTCATGGCAGAGTGAGAAGCAAAGGCTTAAATCTGTGCAAACTCAAAGGAAGGAGCTTCATGACCACGAGGACTGGTGACATCATCTCCATGGTCCCAGAATGCATTCTGGGAAGGCCGGCTTTTTGTCTCGGGGTCCCTAACGGGTACCCTGTGGTGGTGACATCCTTGCCGTCAGTCTCACCCCTGCTTCAGGCACCGACGCAGCCTGCTGGCTGACCCGCAGGCTCAGAATCCGGTGCTGAATTCAGAAGACCTCTTGACTTTGGCACATGTCACCTTGTGACCACAGAAAACGGGGCACGGTCAGCACCTGGCCCCGCAGCGCCGTCATGTCAGACAGCCCTGGATGGACAGCCTGCCTCCGGGCTCACGGACTGAGCTTGGCGAGGGGGGGCCATGCACCCCTGCGCAGAAACCGAGGCAGTGGAGACGGCTCAGGTCCGGGCCTGAGCTCCCGCGGTCCTGTTCGGATGCACTTCTCTAAGTGCAGGTGTGAGCTGGAACTGTCAGCAACCCCCAGAGCTCCTTGTAAACACAGGGGCAGATGGTTATGGAGAAGCCAGGCTGTGATCCAAGGGCCAGGAGGGTCGCCCATGGGGAGGGGCCAACACAGCAAGGGTGGCCAGACGGTGGGATGGGGCGGGAGACGAGGGTGGGGAGGTGCCGATGGGGACTGGGCCAGGAAGCCAGCCGAGCCTGGACAGGTGGACGCGCCATCTCAGAACCGCAGCGGCCAGGCCAGGGCCCCACCTTAGTGCCCTCCAGGGGAGCCGCCACTGTCCCCCGACCAGACGAGGGACGGAAGCCTCTGGAGAGGAGAGCGGCCAGCCCAGCACCAAAGGGACGGAACCTGTGGAGCCGGGATCTGAACCCAGGGCCGCGTGCTGTCAGCCCTCTCCTCGTCAGCGTGGGGGACTGTCCCCTGCCAGGAAGGTCCCTGGCCTCCCAGGTGCCACACGGCCGGCTATGGGTGCCGGGGGTCCCTGGAAGCCCCAAACTGGGCAGGGTCGGAGGAGATTAAGCTTACTGCCTGGGAAGGTTGGAGGAGATTAAGCTTACTGCAGACCAGGGCAGAACCAGGGGTAGTTCTGGAATGTTCTACTGACTTTCTTCCCTCGGTTCTAAACCGCAATGCTGCTTCGCGGTGTAGGGGCCAGTGCCCGAAGCCGCTGCATAAGGACACGCACGGCTGGCCTGTTCGGTCACCCTGACTCCAGCTTACTTTACAGGATAAAAATCTGCGTTACAATCTATTCATTTCAGGGTTTTGGTGAGAATTAAAAATATTCTAAGTCCTAGCAAATCCTTTCCAAAAAAGTTAAAGTTCTAAAAATAATTTCCGAAATCGTTTTTGGAAGTCAGCCCCGATTGTGAGTCCCTCAGCGGATGTCCCCTGGGGTGGCTGTCACCAACCAGGGCTGGGGGAGGGACCTCGAGGCTCAGAGTGGCCGGCGGCAGCCCCCCACCTGTTTCGTACCCGACACACAGACTCTTCGGAAGTATTTTTTTTTTTTTTAACTTTTCTA